TTCATTTATTTATACAAAATAATATTTGAATCATTTTTAGGGCAAACTCCCTTTATTCCAAATATCAACCCAATAGCCAAAAATTAACTTTTTTGTAACCATACCACCTTATTTACCTCATAACCATTTCCTTAACATACACTTAGAAACCCCTTTTTTTGATTTTACAACCCAAACCTAGGTTTTTCCATAATATACCCAAAGTCCACCATTGTTAAGACATCATCAAATAACTAAGTTAAAATTCATATGGAAAGTGTACAAATGACATACCTCAAGCTTAGAAGACCAAAGCACAAGGAGAAGCTTCAAAGATGTCAAAACCAAACTTCTACGTGGATCAAAAATGGAGCCCTTGAGACGCTCTACCTTTTTCCTCAAAGGCACTAGGGTGAAGATCCCAATGGATAAGTTGATAAGTTTTAGAGAGAGAAACTCAAGATCTAGTTTTTTGGAAGTTTTAGAGAGAGAGAGGATGAAAAAGTGATAAAAAAAAGTTATCATTTTCGCGATCTGTTATAACACAGTCTGCTCGAGCATGAAAAGTGACACTTGAGCATCAGACACATTGTTTCTGCTCAAGTGCAAGACTAGATGCTCGAGCGTCCATCCTGCTCAAGCGTAGAAAACGCCGCTCGAAGCGTAGAAAATAACTTTTCTAGTTTTATTTGTAGGTCTATAAAAATACTGAGAGTTTGCAAAGCCTGCTCGAGCGCAAGAATGGCCACTCAAGCGGAGGAGTGAAATTGCAAAGCCTGCTCGACCGCAAGAATGGCCAGTCAAGCGGAGGGCAAAAATCTGGGCAACAAAGGTTGGAAAAACAAGCAACCAACCTGTTTTAAAACACCAACTACAATCCAATAACCAAATTTAAGGGGGATTAGGAAAAAAACAACAATGAATCAACATTCAAAAACTATAAGCCGAGTCCGGAATGCAACAAGAGTCGGGTTAAAACCGAAATCGCTATAACCTCTCCCCTTAAGGAATTTCGTCCCCAAAATTTCAAATCAAGTTCAAAATCATTATTAAACCAAATTCACAACAATGTTAATCTTACAAGTTCCAACACCATTACCCACTCTTTGGTCATCCATTCTCATCAACTTGGTACACAAGTTCCAATATTGGAAAGTGCAATTTACAATTTCCAAAACATTTACAATGTTTAAAATCATACACAACATGTACAGTGTTTTCAAAAATGATACAACACACACACAATATTCCATATTCCTGCAAACATAAACAGCTTATATTGAATCCATGTTTCCAAACACCCATAACATATACAATGTATCTTGTGTTTTAAAACATATACAATGCTTTTAAATTCATTAGCAAATCAAAATCATATATATATATATATCAAACCCAACAAATAAGTCCGGATATTTCTCTCGACTTTTCCAATTCAGCTCCCAGTTGCTTCCTCAATTCTGTGATGTTTCCAAAATACCTTACCAAGGGTATTGTCTTGCCTCGCAAGATTGGTCCGTGTATCCAAGACTCTCACCGGTCTCTCCTCATGCGAGGCATCCTCATCTATCTCTAACGTCGATCCAATCCAACATGTGATGGATCCGGTCATACTTCCGAAGCATACAAATATGAAACACATCATGAACCCAGAAAGTTGGTGGCGGTAACGCCAAACGGTAAGCTACCTCCCGTGATGCTCAGAAGATCTCAAAGGCCCAATAACCGAGGAACAACTTTTCACTCTTCCCAAATCTCATCAAACCCTGCTAGGTGATATCTTCAAAAAGACATGATCTCCCATCTCAAAAAACAAAGGTCTCCTCCTACGGTCGCGTAACTTTTTTGGCGACTCTGAGTCTAACACACCTCTTACGAATAAGTGTGACTTTCTCCGTCGTTTCCCTAACTACTCTGGACCCAACAAAGTGCATCACACCACCTCGGCCCAACACACAGGATCTACACGGTCAGCCATACAAGGCCTCAAATGGTGCCATACAATACTCGATTGGAAATTATTATTATAGGCAAACTCCACTAAAGGAAATGCCTCTTCATGACCCCTTGAAGTCCAAGGACACAACCTCGAAGCATATCCTCAAGGATCTGAATGGTACGCTCAGACTGCCCGTCAATCTGAGAATGATATGCTGGCTAAAAGTCAAGTCTAGTACCCAAGGCCTCTAATCAACGACTCTGCCACAACCGAGTTGTACTCG